GAATGCAGTAAGCAAGCAGGTGAATTTAATTATGGATGTTTACAAATAGCCTACAGCCAGAAGACCATTCAGAAATTAATACCTGGTAGTGAAGGGATTAATTACTATGGAAAGGTTGTAGAGTACTAGAATTTGATATTAAAGCTGTCTTTCTATAGAAAATACAAAAGTGTCTTATTCATCTAAGGTTGTTCCAGTTTTTGTTAAATTTAACAGAAGTAACATTGGAATCACTAATGGGCTTGAGTCCCTTACAAAGGAGTCAAAATACCTTGTCAAAGCTGGAGAAGTGATGGGAAGTTGGGGGATACTGGGTATTTTGCAGCCATATGTTTATGCCTCAAATTAAGAAAGTAAAGAAAGATGGAAAAAAAAGTAAACTAGCACTACTGTAAATTCTTCTCCCTATGCACAATGTAACTCCATGTGACTCCTCTTGCATATAATAAAGTTCTACCAAATTGTTATGTTGTACAAAATGACTGATGGATGGGATATTTGCCACTGATTTTGTGTCAGAGGTTAGAAAGGAATTTGTCCAAGCAATGTGAAAACAACAGTGGTTGCGAGGACAGGGTGTAATCATAAATACATTTAGCATTTAACAGACTATGCTTTAAAACCCTGTACACAACTGGGACAGCAGCATACCTGTAGCTAGGAGAAATAGTCCTGAACTACTTTTATATACCAGGTTCAGTGCTGGAAGTGGGTCAACATCACTGTGTCCAAAAACACTTTTAAAACTGAGATGGTCTGCAGCAGGCCATGTCAAACTGCCTATGAAAGTAAGCAGCTGCAGCTCTCCTGTGGGAATGGAGTGAGAGGGGAGCAAGCAGGTGCCTGGGGGACTGGAGCAAAGAAGGAATAAGCAGTCATAAGAAAACTACAGCTAAGGAAAACAAAAGGATAATGAGCCTTGACTGACTGCCAAACAACCCACCAAAGACACTTAGAGGTGATAATGGGGAAGGGTGCCAGATGAGATCAATGACCACACTTAGGCTCCGCTTGAATGTGTAGAGCCACCAAATGTACCTGACCAAAGGAATGTTGGTGCCCCAAAAATTCAGACCCACCTCATCCTGTTGTGTTACTGGTCACATCAGGATGAAACTGCAAAATTATGATACATAAGGCCACCTTGTAGGGGGGGCTCACCAGAACTCAAGGACCACATTGCCTCTGGTGGGATGACTGCTAAAGCTTCTGTGCCTGCCTCCCCTCCCTCCAATGGGACTCATCACTCTTGGGGTCGGCAGGTACTCATAATTGTTAGGGACATAACTATTCCCTTATAAATGGAGTAGACTTTATATCCTTTTTGTAAGGACACACATATTCATAGGTGGAATGAACTTTGAATTTACTACCCAAGTGTGTGTCTGTCCCGTTATCTTGGAATCACTACTGCAGGTCTGTTGGTAATGATGGCAGCTGTAGCAGACACAAGTAGTAAACATCATGGAAGTCCCTTGGTAAGGTGCACCACTGACCTTTTCCTGATCGAAAAGCGTTACTCTGTAGCCCTAAGAAATCCATACCAAAAACTTGCTACATAGGTAACTCTCTGCATTATACCTAAAAGCATGAAGGCTTAAAAAAAAATTAAAACAAACTGCAAAGTAAGTGGGAAGCTGAGCACATAAAACACTTTTGAAAGCTGAAATAAGGTGCCAGACAGCTTCATTTATCAATTAACTTTTTAATTTTTATTACATAATGCATAAACACCACTTGGGGAGAAAAAAGCAAAGAATGACAGGTCTAGTTTAGCAGAACACAGTATGGACTGGCACTAATGAAAAGACCATGGATTTGACTCAGCAGTTAGAAGAAGTGCAAAGATCACTGCCAGTCTAGGCAGATTAAATCAGTGTTAAACCAATACTCAGTCCTGACATGGAATACTGCCTACCAGGTAGGTTACCTGTACTGCAATCCTTTGTAATAAAAGATCCTTAAAAAGGGGTCTACAATTCTTACATGAAACCAGGTAGTTGTTTAGTCTTTATTACAGATTTCTGAATCATCCTAGTTACTTAAGCATTCACCAGTAAATGCTTCAACGGAAGTGCAATTACGTACAGATAAAACCAGTAGAGGCCACTCATGAGTAGGTCAGGCTCCCATTTTGCTAAGTAAGTTAGGAATTTGACTCTTAAAACTTCCAGGTCCTAAACCAGAGATCATACTTTGGGTCTGTTGGGCCTGAAGACGTACGTTGCCTTTTAGTCCTGACATTCCTAACAAGGAATAACGGGCATGTTTAAGAGGTATGTGTACATATCAGACTAATCAGTCTCCATTAAAACATTACACAAATGTCTAAATAAGCAGGGATAGTACTTCTGCCATACATTTGTCTGCGCAGGTGTTCAATACTTAAATCTGAACTAACACTGATTAATCCTTCCAGGACTTTAATTAGTGTTAATGGCATTGGTGGGTTCAGGGATTTTTAGAATCTTAACAGCATATTAACTAATGCACAGATGGATTGAGAAACACCCTAGTCTCTGCACAGGTAACTTTTAGAAAGGTAGATCTTTTGCATCTTTACCTTTAAACAAGTTTTGTAGATTATTTTAGACATTGAGAGCTTTATTCTGATAGTTCCTGAACTCAGCAAGTTTTTGAAAGCTTATTTGGTTCCTTTGATTTTCCCCTCTGGGTCTGCAATCATGACAACCAGATAGTGTAAATAACTCACTGTGCAGCACTCTTAAAAGGTGCAATGTACAAAACCAGTGATAGCTTATCCAGAAAATCCCCATTAGTATCACATTGTCCTAGAACTGAATGAATGGTCTGGTCAAATCACTCTCCACTAAATTCACTCTGAAGTCATAGAGGGAAAAAATCCTTTATCTATTTTCTCCACCTATAAAGAGCAGTTTACATTTTGTAGGTGGCAACACACTGATTGGCCACTCTGGATGACATATCCATTACATCTGGGAACATCTGCTACAGAAGACTCTTCGTTCAAAAGTAGTTTGAAGAAGACTCACCCTTGGAAATCAATCTGTAGTAGGCAGGACAAAACACACCTTTTTTCAAGTTATGTAGCAGAAGAGTTGCTGCTGTAGGAATATTCATTTTGTCAAATTCTGGCCCCTCATCTATGCAATTATCAGCACAGACTTTTTAACAGGCAATCACAGTTCACTTCCTCTCCTATAATCAGAGGTTATTTTTTTCTATTATCAACTTGCTTACCTAACATGAGCAGAGACCTGTAAGATTAATTTTTTTCAATTAAATATAGTAAAATTCAGCATAAGATTGGAAATTTAAATTTTCTGGGGAAGATAGAAACACAAGCTGGGAAAATTGGAAGACACAGATATTCACTTGTGCTCCAGCTCCTAGCACCCAGCACATCTCATTCTTCAATTATAAGAAATTCAGAACCTAAAATTCCAAACCATTCAACTTAATAAGGCCAAATATCTTAATGACAGCCACCTACATACACTAATGTGACTAAACACCTGCTTGCCAGTTAATTCATTCAGTGAAGGAGTATATCTTACTTCAACGTGACTCTTGTAATTTGTATATTCTTGTTGAAGGGCTCAAGAAAACCACTGGGTTTAAAGTCCCTCTCTAGCCAAACAGAAAAAGTAAAAACTACCTCATTCAAGATGCATTAAACCAGACTTTTACTTTTGATGTAAATCCAAAAAGTAGAAAAAATACTGGAAGAACAAAAAAAATTGCCACAAGCTGTATGAAACTACAAAGTTGTACAATTTTTGAAAAGCATACAAAAGATTTGTATTTCCATATCTATTACATAAACATCATGGTTTACCAAAATCTATATATCCTTGCATCAAATTGCTAGATTGACAGTCAACTTTACTACAAAAGTGTATGTATTAAGGTATTTAGTT